CCCCAAAACCCCAAAACCCCAAAACCCCAAAACCCCAGGAGTTATAATAATTGCTGAAACAGAACTTTATTGTACGTAAATGAACATAGGAACATTCGAAATTGTTGGAGGATTCATGCTCTTCTTCGTTATCATTGTAAGCAGAAGTGTCGAATTTATGGGAGCAGAACTCATATTACCCATAGCCAAGATCTCGTTCAATCTTGAGCATCGAGAGTCCTTGGAAGTAGCATCTCCAGGGATTTGGATAGCTGTCTTTATTAAATTCATCGCTGCTCTTTTGAAAAAAAATAAGAAATATCAAAATAGAAGAGTTTTGGACTTCAAATTTGCAACCGTTATCATGCCACTAGTCTTAGTTGGTGCATTTTGGGGCGAAGTGTTACATTCAACAGTAGCCCCTGTTATAGAATCTTTGTTCTTTTGAGTAATTGTGGCTTTCTTGTTGATCAAAACATATATCGAGCTGATTAAGGAGTACAGGAAATATGTTAAGCAGCAAACTAAAATAAAAGCAGTAAACCTTGAGAAGGATGAAGGCTCTCTGAGCACAGCAATGGTTCTGACAGAAACAGCTCAAAATAGAATTATCAGTAAAGGTCTTGGAGAGGGAGGCCTCGGAAATACCATTAACCAATCAGTAGATGATGAGGACTCTAAAGATATTGAAGACTCAGAAGATTCAGAAGAACTAGAGAACTCTAAGTATATTCAGCGAGTAGAAGCACGGAGGAAGACTGTGTTTGAAGGAGTTCTAGATATAACTGAAGATCCAAGATTTGACCAAGAGTACAAGCCAAGATACCTTAAGAGAGCTCTCCCAATAGTATTCATGCTGGCAATGCTAGGTAATTGATAAGCTGATAAAATATAGTATTCCATCATGTGCTCAGAGGAAGTAGAAATTTTGATTCAGCAATTGGAGTTGAACAATGAAGCCTCAAATATTGGCTAATCATGTTGGGATATTCCCTAATGCTGTTCCTAGTTTTTATCGTAGTCTTTCTTATGACTAAATACGAGAGCACTTATCATGGAGATGTTGGATACGAAGTAAGCTATGATTGGGGTCCTTGGACTTTTATCAAAGTAATAATTATTTCTATCTTGGCTGGTTTAACTACTACAAGTGTCGGAATTGGATTAGCATTTCTTTGAGCACCCCTTCTCCACTCGCTAGACTTTCCGGAGGAGATTTCTGAGCATACACCCTTATTCATAGAGTTATTTGTCAGAATAGTGAACACTATTCATTTCATGATCATTGATATCAGTCAGTGGGCATATATGCTTTGGTTTGCAGGCTGGATATTACCTGGAGCACTTATAGGATCTTTTATTTTATTGCCATATACTGAAAAGAACCATTACAGGACTGCAATCATGCTTGGTATTGGCACTATGCTGTTAGCAATCGCTTGAATAGCAACAGCAGTCATTGACGGGATTGAGATAGCAAGAGATGTCAGAGAAGGAGCTCATCTTCTTGACTGGCAAGGCTATTGATTTGAAGAAGGACATGAAGAATTTTATATTAGATAATATATGACGTTGACAATCTCCAACCTTCTTATACTTCTAAGGGGTTTTGGGGTTTTGGGGTTTTGGGGTTTTGGGG